TGTTGCATTTGGACTGTGCAGTGACGGGAAATGTTGTCGGTTGTGTATGGTTATTTATCAGAACTTCATTAGATATTGCACTTGTCACATTTAGATAACGCGTCCTCTAGGCGGAGAATTAGGTGCAAATCTATTCATAAGGGAAGGCAGCATGGTTTTAAACAATGGTAACATGAGATTAACTGTGTGGCTATTTCTTTAACATTTCCTGACTAAACTTAAGCTTCAGTGGGCGTCACCGAAGAGCACTACGACTTATGCCACTCAAACACACGGAGCCACCCACAACTGAACAACATTCAATATACGTCGATATTTTTGGCATTTGTGGCAGTTCTATATGGTAGACAAAATGCAAAAGGTTAAGGCCACGTCCTTAATCGTCTGAAAATTGAATGGCAAAGGGTTACACGTATGACTGCCTAAACGGGACAGGGGGGAAAGGAACTGGACACGATATACAGTACGCGCCAGTATTCGTGCAACATGTTGACACATGCGAAAGATTGATACTCTTTCGCTAAACTGCATTGAGTAGTGTTGTAACACTGATTATCATGTAGTCTATTCTGAAGTTATTTCATTCAGAATTGGACGCGGGATTTTTAATACGCTTTGTCCTGACAACTTAAAAACGTTAGTACTGTAAAAGTAGTATGTGTAGTATGCATTTTTATCCATGATTTTGACTTCCTTTATAAATTCAAATATATTTTATGGAAAAAATGTACGAAAAAAATTTTTTGTACGCGTTTGGTAGAAAATTACGCCTGCCTAAAATTTCAAACTTAGAGTAAGTTTATCTTTCAGTTTTAGAGAAATGTCTACTTATGAGCATTTTTAAGATAGTGAGGGGTTCATTCATAATACATCACATCCATCAATTTATTAATGCTGCCTTTACGGTATCAAGCGTAGTCCACATCTACTGCAACATTTTATGGGAAGTATATAAGTCCTTCCACAAACTGTAGGCGAAAACATACTTTTCCTTAGACAGGATGTACGCAGTGCGCAGTTTGTAAAAGTTGAATTCGAGTGTAGCGGTCAGTAGTTTCCAAAATTATTCGGCAATTTAGAAACTGTTTTGAAATCGAAAGATACCCTTTCTTTAAGTATAAAACTTAAAGATAGCTTAATTTCTACGAACTAATTTTTTCGTGCATGTTTTCCATAAAATATATTTTAATTTATACAGGCAATCAGAATCATGGATAAAAACGCATACTATTGAACTAGTTTCTTTTTACAGTACATGCGTTTTGTTAGTGGTCAGAGCGAAGCTCGGTAAAAAACCCGCCTTCTATCCTGACTAACATGACTTCAGGATAGACTACACGATAATCAGTACCAAAACCTGAGTCAATGCGAATTGGCGAAAGAGTATCAATCTGTCTCATTTGTCGGCATGTTGGACGAATTCTGGTGCGTATTGTATGTGGCTTTGCATAAAATTCCTAAAAGTGATGTCGACGATAAAGGAAATGGAGGCGGCCGGTGTTTCTTATCCTGACGTCGTCGGAAAAGGAGGGCGGTGTTAGGATGCCAACGGTCATTGCTTCTCCCCGCATTGACCGCATATGTTGTTGAAAGACCGTGTATCTCGTTCTCCACCCCTTTGCATCTGCCCCACGGCGTCTTGTCGATAGTTGCGACGTAATTACGAGTGTCTCCGATCCAGTTGGAATAAATACCACCGTGCTCAGTGCTTATGCACTAACCGTTGTTCCATGCGTCTGTGTTCGAGCCCAACAGGAGGTCCTATTGGTTCACGTACCCCGTGGTATTCCTTTACGGCTGCGTTGGTGTCTGATATACGTTCCCGCACGCCTATATACTGGCACGGTAGGGGGTTGCTAGTAGTCGCAACCCGTCTGACTTTCTGTCTGCGATTTCGTTGGTCAAGCCGCATTCCTAAGGTCTGGAAAGCCGTCGTGAAAATCCTGCAGAGTTTGATGGAATTTAATGTGGTGTGCTATGCTTGGAGCGCTTCTCTGGCTACTTGGTCACCACCTCAGCCTAGGATTTCGACGTCCTGAAATGCGAAGGTGCCATGCAATTCTTAGAGATACATAACTAGGTATACCTTAAGGCAGAATCAATTATATTATGGTATGATTTTACCTCACTACCCAATTAAATCCTTCAGATAATTGCAGCTGAAGCTGCCGGCGATCTTCTTGAGAGCCAGCACGAAGAGGAACCCATAAGCCTAATGTGTGCACTTCATACAGCTGCTCAGTTTCTGCTAAAGCATCTATTTCACACTTAAGGGCACTGTCTGCGCACAAATCAAGGGGACTCCCATGAGCTGCCACTGCCTAATTTCCTTGCTGAGAAAGTCCTCTAAAGGTCAGAGACACTGCGTTTACTAACCATAAACCATTTTTAGGTCACGGCATACAAACGATGCCTTCGTTGTCCTGAGGCATGGAAATGTTTTCCAAATTACACACGAAACGGAAATCTATTTTGCGTTCATTCAGTTCACAATAAAGGCCGGGGTCAACGGGCAACTGGGGTTCATAGACTTCCTCTTCGCGGTAAAACTGACCGAAGCTTAAATAAACAATGTACGGGAATACAAAAGAACATGTGAGCTTCGAGAAGTAATTGAGAAGAAAACACCCCGATCGCTGGGGCAATACATCTATTCGCTTGACGTTTCGACATCAGTCGTGGACTCGTCATCAGAGACATAATCAGAGAGCAGTAGCAGATGCGGTTAGCGTATGCACATGACTTTGTAGTATTTATAGGATACAGTCATTACTGCAATCATACAACGACAATTAACGGTAATTGCCTTCTTTTGTGTTAATAGTTTGTTGAACAGCATGCGGGCTCTGACCTGCTGAACCCTCATCACGTGTTTTGAACTCGGGCATAATTATTGCTCGGCCAGCTGGCCCTTCGATTTTGGCATAGGATGTCACGGTGGCCTGTCCGTTCCCCAAGTGGTAACTTGCTTTGGCCAAATTGAGT